CCTTCCGAGCCTCTGCCTCCACAGCTAAGTGTAAAAGCTCTAGTCCCAGAAGTGTTTAGGTAAGCTAGTCTAATAAACGCTATACTAGAAAACAAATAGATAAATGAGTACTTACCAAGCTGACTTTCGAATGTGTCGATCCACATTAGACTACCTAGTTCACTTAAAGCCTTCGACTAACGGAAATTCCTTCTTGCAGTGTTCGTCGATCCAGAAAAAAGCGTGCGATTTCACCTGGAGATGGGGAATTCTTGAGAGATGAAAAACTGGAAACTCAAAAGTCATCTTCCACTATCAGTGTCAAGTTTTCTTACAGACCGACGCTTTTACAGACTGAGGAAGCCGGTGCTCCATATAAAAAAGTACACTATAACATACAAGGAGGAAGTAAAGTTTCTGGGACTGGTGCTGGATAGGAAATAGAGACCTCGCATACAGATTCCCGATAATAAGATACATAAGCTACTTGCTGATTAAAATTTGATAAATACCCTCGAACAATCCAGGGAAGACAGTAGGTAAAAACTGTACAAACTATCCACACCAAAATAGCAAAAGACAGATGACAGGAATGGCAACGAGAACAATTGCTTATAAATCCGCTAGCTAGTGCAGGGGGTTAAGAGTCAAAATAGGTTTCAACCTTGCATTTTGTGATAACTTTATGAAACTTTCAGATGATGTTCTAGACACCCTAAGGTTCAATTTCAGCTATGCCGCCACCCCCGCAACCCTGGACGGCACTTGCTATAGCGGGTTTCTTAAGTGCAAGGTAGCATTTCAATACCCGCCCATAAAATGGGTCAAAAATGTATATATCCAGGGTTTGTTTTGTACTTTCTTACATCTAGGAAGGTTGAAGGGAAACTAATATACTTAATGAAATATAAAATGAGAAACATACATCAAATCTAGAACCCCTACAGTCTACGCCAATGATCATGACAATCGATCCGTACTCTGCAAGAGTGTGATAGCGGGAGTAAAATTGCAGAAAAAAGCTAGTCCAAGTATTACCTTTAACATTACAGTAACAGGAAAAAATTGCTTAGATCATTGAGAAGTTACTGATTTTTATGGGAGTAGTCTTCATTGTCTTATTATTCACCTCTAACGGCCAGTAGCACAAAAAAATAATCCAGGATTATTGTTTAATCCGGTATTAAGACATTAATAATAATAATAATAATATTGGCTTTATTTGAGGAAATAGAGAAAAAATAACAAAAGGACTTTCAAGCAAGGGCGAAGTTCAGTGCAGCAGAAAAAAACCGCTGCCTGTTTTTACACTTAACCCTAGAAATTATTCCGATACCTAGTATAGACATATTCTATTTGGTATGAAAACTAATTAGAATTACTAAATTAAAATAAATAAAAAAGTATGAATGTGAACTAGAAAAAAAAAATAAATGTAACAAACAAAAAAAATAATATTTGAAGTTTAGGCACGTGACTGATTTTCAAGCAGGAATTTCCGTAGCTTACACTTGAATGAAATTAAAGAAAGTTTTTTAAGGTTTTCGGGTAAGTTATTGTAAATATTTGCAATGCAATAAGAAAAGGAACGTTTAAAAAATTGAGTAACATGTGTTGGCGGTGTTAATAGCCCCTTAAACCTTAAATTCAGATTATGGACATCCGTCCTAAAGGTAATCTTTTCATACAGATAAGATGGCGACCTGTTGATTATAATATTATGGAATACCGTGGCAGCATGCAAAAACCTCCGATTTTTCATATTAAGCCATTTTAATTCCTTTAATTTGTAACTAATTGGTTCAAATTTCCTGACTCCAAATATAAGTCTTAGACAGGAATTTTGCAGCAATTGTATCTTTCTTATATCTGCTGAGTCAAGGAAGGGGCCATAGACAGTATCACAATAATTTAGACCAGACAGCACCATGCCGTTACATAGAGTAGCTTTCGGCATACGAGTAAGCAAGTGTCTAGTGCGGTAAATAATCTTCAAACTCGCATAACCACGTTGTATACATCGGGATATATGATTTTTAAACCGCAGATTTGAATCAACCACTAATCCCAAATTGTTTACACAATCTTCTATGGATATTGCCTTTCCACCTATGGCTATTTGTACGTAACCCTTCGCTTCTAATCTATGTTTATCCCTACCAAAGAGAATCGCTTGCGTTTTGACCGAATTAAGGAAGAGTCCATGATCCTTCGAAACATTAGCAATACGCGTTAGATCTTCATTAATTCTATGGCATGCTAACTGTACTTCCGATGGGTCAAAAGAGTAGTATAACTGCGCATCATCCGCATAGAAATGAGAAGTACAATGCTTTAGTGCAAGGGGAAACGTAGAAATATAGATGTTGAACAAGATTGGACCCAATACGGAGCCTTGCGGTACACCGCAACTAGTGTGAAGAAATTTAGACATAATACCTGCAGTCGACACCGCTTGGACTCTATCCTCCAAATAACTAATCATAAACTTCCTGGCTGTATGTGATAGTCCCGAGTAATGTAAGATGGAAATGAGCAGTTTGTGGTTAATTGTGTCGAAAGCTTTCGTAAAATCTAACAACACCAGAGTAGTCAAGTGTCCCTTATCTGAAGCAATCATTATGTCGTCCACTATTTTTAGCAAGGCTGTATTGCAACTGTGACCAACTTTAAAGCCTGACTGTACGTTGGGAATAATTTTATTGAAACACAAATGCGACGAAAGTTGCAGGGCAATTACTCTCTCCATAACTTTAGATAAGGTAGGCAATATACTAATCGGGCGCAGGTGTTTAAGTAAAGTGGGGTTTGAAATTTTAGGCAACGGAATTATTCGTGCCTGCTTCCAACATTTTGGAAAAGTGGAATGCGTAATACAAAAATTTATTAAATGCGTAATTATTGGAAGCAGATACGGAATACACCAGTTAATCAGATTAATCCCAATCCCATCAATACCAATTGCCTTTGATTTAATTGACCGGATTATCCTAAAGATTTCATCCTCGGAAACCGTGTTGAAACTGAAAATTGTGGATATAGAACTTGCTCTATGTCCTTCATAAAACGTTTCCAAAGCGGTAGTGTCACCAAGTAGTCTAGCTGCTGAATTTGTGAAGTACTGATTCAATTTCTCTACGTCGGACAACTCGTTGGGTATGGGTTTTGATTTATTTGTTTTATTTAAATTACGAAACTCTTTCCAGAGATTATTATGATGTTCACTGAAACGCTCTTGGTAATATTTGCGTTGCTGCTTTTTAACAGCTACGGTAACAAAGTTTCGGATAGATTTATAGACGTTCCAATCAACTTGATGCCTTGACTTTTTATAATTATTAAGAGCAACCTGCCTAATTGCAAATAATTGCCTTATACCGTCAGTGAGCCAAGGAGCATGTGGTTTTGAAAACCTAGACGTTTTCAGAGGCACGTGCAAGTTAAAAAGTGTCAGTAGATTCTCATTGAAAATGTCTACTTTCGTATTTATATCTGACGCCTCAATTACACATTTCCATGGAATCGACATAAGATCGCTTTTAAACCGGGTGTAACTAAACTGTGTAAAATCTCTGTAAGTGTATATGTTTTGAGCAGAAGTCACCCTTTGCACGGGTATGTGGCAATAAATCAATTCATGGTCAGATACACTTGGCAAGTGAATTGTCCCTTTAATTTTAATATCATTATATGTAGTTATAATAACATCTATTAGCGTGATTGATCGATGCGAGATACGCGTCGGTTCATCAATTACTTGTACCAAACCCATATTTTTAAGAAGCGACCTCAGATCCCTATAGCTGATTTATTATTACAATCAAGTATGTTAATGTTAAGGTCACCTAAGCAAAACAATTCATTGCAAGTAGGGAGTAGTAGAGACAAATCTCCTTCAAGATAGTGGAAAAATTCTCCACAGTTACCGTTAGGCGGTCGATAGACTACACCAAATATCAATATGGTTCTACGAATTGCAATTTTTACCCACAATTGCTCTATTAGATTATTGGTTCTCAAAACCGTATAATTAGTAAATTGCTTTTTTATATACAAACAAACACCACCTCCTCTACTCAGCCGATCTTTCCTACACAGCACATAATTCGGTATACTTACAGTAGCATCATCGGTATTGGAATTAAGCCATGATTCAGTAACAGCTACAATATCATAATCATTACCAGTCACACAATCTCTAAAATCTTCAAAATTAGATGTTAGCGATCTGACATTCAAGTGCGCGCATTTGATGTTATTCATGCCTAAAAAAAATGCCAAATTATAATTTTGAATAGGAAGATGTGAAAAAGAAGTAAAAAAAAATAAAAAATTAGTACCCAATTGTTACATTCATGTTTGAAGAAATGGAATGAGCATCATGAATTATAAACATAAGTAAATGATTGCGAACATTATTGTTACAGGTAATCGATAAATTGCTTTATGCTGATATCACTTCATAATACATAGAATACACAAAAATTACAAAATAGAAACACGTTCCTGTTATACGAGTAAGTATATACAATTCAACGAAAAAATGCAAATCAAGGATTACAATATTTCTATCTCAACAAGTTGCTTGTAAGAATGCACAAAGAAAAAAAAAACGTAACTCTAATTAATGAAATAGAAAATCTAATTACTGTTGTGTGAATATAACTAAAAAAACGAAATATAACTCTAATACAATATAGTAGGCAAAAAATTTGATTGTCTATCCTATAGACACGTATAACGGTATGCGCGCGTGATGAGCACCTATTCTTTTATCTTATCCAGCTCTTCTGATGACGTTACGACGTACAGCTTGTTCTTCAACTTGATAAATATTTTTCCATCATATGTCCACACATTTTTATAATTGAATTTGTTTATAGCGGATTTTAAAACATTTGCTCTTAGTTGAGTGAGATTTTCGCGTATTATAACACCTGAACTTTTTAACAATTTTTTATTTTTAAAAACTTTTTCCCTCGCATTATAGGAGGTAAATTTGACAATTATGGGGCGGCATTTAACCTTGGAATTGGAGCGCGTTTGTATGCTGTCCATGCGTCCTGTGCGATGTGACCTATCAATATCACTCGGCGAAATTGATAAGTGCATATGATTTTTAAAGAGGTCTAACAGGACCTCATCTGTATTTTCTTGTGGTGTTTCTGGTAAACCAAAAACCTTCAAACAATTACGTCTAGAATATTGCTCCATGTTATCAATAGCGATGTTTAGGTTGGCATTCATTTTCCTGAGGTCTTTGTTTTCCTCTTCTAAAACTTCCACTTTTTTTGTTATTTGCTCCAACTCCGCATCTAAGTCCTGAAGGATTAGTGATGATACGCCTTTCACAACTTCGTTTAAAAATGTCTCACTTGTAAATAATTCTTTAATCTTATCATTTAGTAACGCATTGATTTCGTCCTGTTGCTTACCCGAAACCGGCATATTTACACAGTTTGTAACTAAAGACAGAAATAATTCAAAATTAAGTAGAACTGGAATTAACTTTTATTAAAAGCTCACGCAGCGCACGAAATACACGTCTACTCTTGATGACCGCACATATCGGAATCCTTGATTGCTTTTTATACAGCAGTAAGCAGCCAATCAAATGTCAAAATTCTTATTTAAACTCAAATTTGGCAAATAATCTAGAATTTTGATTATAATTCGCTTTCCTGCAACCGGCCGTCAATCAATTCCTTTTACCATAAAGCATTGAAATCGAATAGCAAAGCAAAATCAGAAGTCGAGGCAGGTAAACAATTTCATTAATTAACCAATTAAGCCAGACCCAGGGCCAGACCACATCATCAAGAGGAACTGCAACATTGGTCGCCTTCGCAGAATTTCGTTTTCTTGGATGGGATGAGACATACGCTCGGCGAATTATACAATCATCAAACGGTATGAAATAAGTATACTATTACGGGCAATGCTGATACCTACTGAATATACACAAAATTTCATAAAACTCGGTCGATCCGTTTCGTAGGAGTGCGACAATAAACACGGTGACACGAGATTTTTTTATATTAGATTTTTGTAACCGTGAGTAATGCCTAGGCACATTAACGTAATTTGCTATCTTAAGCAATGCTGCGTTCCTTTAAATCGAAATATAATTGAAATTCACCCGTAATGGTGAATCAAAAAGACAATACTGGCAATATGGTGAGCTTTGCTAAATTCATATTTATAGTATTTTTTTTCAAAAAACTATGAAGGTTTTCAATTGCCTAAAGCAAATTTTGACTATAGAAGAGTTTGCACAATGTATACGATTCGGGACTGAATAAATGGACAAACATAATCACGAGAATACTTTTTGGTAATGGTTTTATTCAAAAAATGTACGTCAAGTGCCTAATAGTACTTGCAAATGTTGTTAATTCATTTGGAACTGGTTGAGGATTAAAAGGCACTTTAGTCCTATTATAATTACACCATTTTTGAATTTAGCAACAGCCCCAATCTTGGTATTTTAAACGCCTTACAGAGAAATGCGAAACCACATCATCTTTATCCTTATCTTGCTTCTAAAATGCATAGAAAATCACAGAAAAAACCAGAAAATATAGCAAACACTAGTATATTTTTACTTTTAAAATCGACATCGACATCGATAGAAAAATGAAAGTTTCTGAAAGATGATAAAAAATATAGCGTAATATAGCGTTTTTTTAACGCGTTTTACAAGTAGGATTTGCACAATTTAATTTAAAATTCAAATGGTCAAAATATTCTTATCGATTTTTTTAAAATTCTGGACACCCCGTCTATCTAAATAGCTGAATATGACTATATATTTTTAAAAGCAGAGATTTTTATAAAGAATAACCTTTTTCGTAAAACTTATAACAAGAAAGATTTTGTATGACGCCACCTTAATTAGGACACTGTTCATAATGAACCCAATGATAAGAGGCTATTAAATAAAATTATCTAAAGCAGGATCTAAAGGGAGCGAGTGGGAGTTACAATAAAATAAAATATTTAAATAATTAAAATTAAAAGGTAATAATAGATTCATAATAAATATGATAATTTGTGATTTATAATACTTGTAATCAAAAATATATTTTGATTAATTTTACATGGAATTATGCTTGTCGGTCTAGTTTTCGAACAATTCTAAATTAAGCAAATAAGATTAGTGATAGTCGATGCGGAACAAAACCATGCTGATGTTCAGATATTTGCAATTTATATTGCTGAAATAATTGCTCATACAATATACAATTTCACAGACTTGCGGTAAGTTGGAAAGAGTTGCATAAAAAATGTAACAAATTTTATTTATTTATTTGCATTAGTTATTCTATACCGTGTAATAAAGGTTTTATTTATACTGTTTCTCATGGTACGAATGTTTTCATCTCACGCGATTCGACAAAGCAAATAAATAGGTCTGTTATTCAAAAAAATGTATCAGTCAATTCTATGGTCTATATAGAATGAAAATCTGTATAGTGTGGTGCCTCTTAATGGTTTCGGTAGAGATGAAGGTAGGTGAATCAGGTACTTTGTCGCTCACTGTGATTGATTCGTCAATTTTAAAGCTACGACCAGAAGTTATCATTGCATGGGAAAACTATCACATCCCGCATTTCGATGAGTGTGTCCAAGAGGCGGGCGTGGATCCCATGATTCCAAGGTTAATGTTTAGGGAAATAAATTTTCCAGACGAGGAAGACTTTCACTGCTACCTGAGATGTATCTTTAAACACAACGGGTGGTTGACAGAAGACGAAGACGATATCGACTCCGTTGCTATACTGCAAGCTCTCCACGTGAAGCCGGATTTGTTACAGTTTTGTGGTGAATTAGTTGCCTCTGAACCAGAAATATGTAGAAAGGCCTACTTGACAGTTAAGTGCGCAGTAGACGACCAACTCTCATCAATGCGTCGATAACTGAATATTGTAGTCTAAGGGATCGGTTACGTACTTTAAGCAAACATCCTGTATATCGATCGTGTAAAGAAATAAATGCACGGATTAAGATCAAGTAACGATTAGTATCTGTCTGTATGTCGTCCGTTTTGTCAAGTAATGGTCTAGTCCAGAGCTGGGAGTAATTAGTATTTAAGTTCCTTGAAAGTATTTAAGTTACTTAAGTGTAACTTGGTTACTTGTAACTAGTTCTTTTTTTAAATAACTTAAAAGTATATTGGAACTAGTTACTTTTACGAAGTAACTTGTAACTGTTACTTTAGGAAAGTAACTTGAGTTACAAAACGTAGTTACGTGGCACGTGACTAGTGAGTTGAGACTACTTGGATATCACATGTTACCTGAAAGAAGAAACTCTTTTATATGTAGTGCTGTTCAGCATGTTTTCGTTTGCAACATTTATCGATTCGCCAAGAAGAAACAACCTTTCGGACAGAAATTTCGAAAATTTAGTGTTATTAAAGACAAACGGCTATAGCGCTTATGTCTCTCCAAGATAAATACGTTTTTCTACTGGCATTTTTACTATATAAATATTCTGTTATTTTGAGAATAAAGAAATTGTTATGTGTCATTTTCATTTATACAAAATGTAACTTAGAAGGAATTTAGAAGAAACTAAATTACTTTTTAAAAGTAACTTAATTTATTTAGAAACTTAGTTACCTTTATATGAAAAGTAACTTTTTACAAGTAACTTAGATACTTTCTAAAAAGTAACTAGTAACTTGTAACTTGTAACTAGTTCCATTTTACAAGTAACTATCCCAGCTCTGGTCTACTTAGTCTAGTCTTACTTTTTTTTATATCATTGCCTGCAAACGTATATAATTTTAATTAATTTGTGTTGTTTACTGTGTGTTACTTTGGATTTGCGTTTGGGTTGAATATGAAGGGTCGTGATAATGTGGTGCGTTTCTGAGTGGAAGACATTTTTTGCTAGGACGTGTAACTTTAATGGGCGAATCTCTGACTAGTGTATGTTGTATTATTTGTACTTGTACTTGTTTGTTCAGTAAGTAGTATTTGTGTGCTTGTTTGGGTTAAAGTATTGAATAGTTAGAGGTAGAAATATTACAGTATGTTGTGACCCAGTACTGTATTTTACATGTATACTTTGTAGTTCATGTGTGTATTTAGTATCTAGTATCCTGCGTTATGTTTAGGAATTTCCGAACTATGACACGTGTTGATAATGACTGCTTTTATGAGTTACAGCGGATTTTTTCTGTTTCTGATAACCCAATCCTGTTGATTTCTGGAGACGCGAACAAAATGTTATTCTTCCTTGGTCGAAGATGTCATGTCATAGCTACTAAACGCATGGGGAAACAGAATGTTCTCAACGACTTCTTCTTGTTTCAAACTATTGGCGGAATATAATAATCTTCCAGCTATTCTGCCTCTTTGTGAAGGTAGATGTTGAGAAGGTGCTAGTGAGGACAGCAAAACAAGTAAATCAACGTCTTCGCCAACTACGGAAACAGCATTAAATTTTAAGCTCACTTAAATCGCTGTCCTGGCAATCGGCACATCAGTATCTTCTTCCGCGTGTTCAACAGTAACACCAGCTCTGCAAGAGCGCAACAGCTGGTAAAATTGCAAAAAACGTTCAAGTACTAGCTTTAACATTACAGTAGGTAACAGGAAAAAAATGAATTGCTTAAGCTTAGATAATTGAAAACTTATTCATTTTCATTGTCTTATTATTCACCTCTCAATTAATTCCTTTTAATATAAAGCATTGAAATCGAAAAGCAAATCAAAATCAGGATTTGCAACAGGCAAACAATTTCATTAGGTAATTAGTCAATTAAGCCAGACCACATCAAGAGAAATTGAAACATTGATAGCCTTTGTGAAATCTACGAGATTTTTAATTGTTTACACTGGTAATGCTTAGGCACATTAACCTAATTTGTTATCTTAAGCAATGCTGCTTTTCTTTAGTTCGAAACATAGTTGAAATTCACCCGTAATGGTGAACCAAAAAGACAATACCGCTAATATGGTAAGCTTTGCTAGATTAATTATGTGCTTTATATTTAATAATAATAATAATAATAATAATAATAACCCATTTATTGGACATACTTCCACCTCAATAATACCTATATAATAACAAAACAAGAAAACAATTTTTAAAAAAAAGAAGAAAAGGAGTGTCCAAAGGGACGAAGTTCAGTCTTGCCAAAATTAGGCGACTGTTCTACCACTTAATCCCAAGATGAGAGTAAATTACTGTCTGCTAATGAGGAAATGGCGTACATGTAGCTTAAAATGATCAGAGGCTAAGGTTTTAAACAAATCAGGTAACTCATTATAATACTTCGCAATATTATATAAAAAAGATCGCTTGTATAGCTGCGATTTATGGTTAGGTATAATGAGTAAACTTTTATTTCTTAAACAGAAATCATGAAGTTGTGATGAGAACTGTATTTTATTATAGAGATAGGAGGGAGTTTTGGTAGTAATTATCTGGTGATATAAACATGCTGCATGTAGCCTTCTTCTGTTATACATGTTCAACCAATTCGTTTCCAACAACTTGTACTCAACTGATTCATACTTACGAATGCCAAAAATTAACCGTAAGCAAGAATTTTGTATTTTTTGAATCCTTTTTTCGGTAGCACTATCAAGACAGGGCCCATACACAGCATCACAGAAATTAAATTGGGACAAAACTAGCGATTCACAAAGAAGCATTTTAGTTTTACTGTTTAAAAAGTTTCTTTGGTTATAAATTAGTTTAAGATTACAAATAGCTTTCTTTATGCACAAGGAAATGTGATCTGAAAATCTTAACTTAGAGTCGATCATCAATCCAAGATTTTTAGCGACATCCGAAATCTGAATATTGACACCTTTAACAACAATTGCATTTGAAATACGGCTAGCTACTCTTTGTTTAATTTTGTCTTTCCCAAAAAGCAAGACTGTAGTTTTGTTAGGATTGATGTTTAACCCATGCGATTTGGAAAATTCAACTAAACACTCCACATCTTTATTAATAGCATAGATTGCAGTGCCAATATCATTTTCGTGAAATGTGTGATGCAGTTGGGTGTCATCCGCGTATAAATTATATCTGCATTGTCGTAAACAGCTACCGAAATTACATGTATATATAGTATACAACAAGGGACCAAGAATTGATCCTTGGGGTACACCTCCTGTAATGAGAAGAAACATGGATGTAGCATTATTTAAAATAACTCTTTGCGGACGACAATGTAGGTAATTACCAATAAGTGCGATGGCCGCAGTATCCAATCCAACAAAATGCAAAATTGCTACAAGAGTGCGATGACTGATGGTGTCGAATGCTTTGGAGTAGTCTAACATTACTAGAGCGGTTAACATACCCTTATCAGTGGCAGCCAGGATATCGTCAGTAATGTTAAGCAATGCTGTGGTGCAGCTATAACCTTTCCTAAATCCTGATTGTCCATCTGGGAGAATATGGTACCTATTAAGATGTGAAGTAATTTGCTGTGCCACAATCTTTTCAAAAACTTTAGACAATACCGGCAGGATGCTAATGGGTCGTAGATCTTTAAATTCTTGTGGATTATTAATTTTAGGGTCGTAGATCTTTAAATTCTTGTGGATTATTAATTTTAGGTAGGGGAATAACGTTAGCACATTTCCAGATATCTGGACACACGCTATTTTTTAGACAGGAATTTATAATGTGGGTCATAAAAGGAGCAGCAAATGGACAGCACAATATCAGCATTCTAACACCAATACCATCACACCCCACAGCATTAGTTTTGATACTCATTAAGTATTTGAGCACCTCTGTTTCCGACACACCTGAAAACTTTAGTTTGGATGTAATGTTGCACTTAAGAACACCATTACAAAAATTTGTGAGCCCGACATCATCATTTGCACTGCATGTGCTAAGGAAATTTGAATTAATTTGATTAACGTCTTGTAGATGAGAAGGTAAATGCTTTGTTTTAGCTCTGCTGTAAATGTCTAATTTTTTTAGTTCTTTCCATAAATTTCTAGAGGAAGTATTACGAAGCTTGTATTCCAGATACGCTTTTTTATCTTGCTTAATTGCAAAAGATGTATAGTTACGTAACGTTTTGTAATATTCCCAGTGGGCTGCTTTGTGTGTACGTTTAAATTTCCTATATGCTTTGACTCTTAGCCCCATCATAAATTTGACGTTATTTGTAAGCCAAGGGGCATATGGTTTAGAAATTTTTATAGTTTTTATAAAGGCATGCCTATTAAACAGGGAGAGAATGGACTCGTTAAGAAACTCAATTTTATCGTTAATATCATGCATTTCGTAAATCATGTGCCAATTAATAGATTCTAGATCATTTTGGAAATCATTGAGATCAAAATATTCAAAACTGCGGTAAGTATAGAAAGTATTGTATTTAGTTAAATTGTCATGTAAGGGATAATCGCAATATATCAATGAGTGATCGGAAACATGATGCATATCGACAACGCCACAATGCACTAATTTTGAGCTATCAGATTGATTATTATGTACTAAAATTAAGTCTATTAGCGAAGCCGAATCTCGAGTAATTCTTGTGGGTTCTGATATAATTTGCGTCAAGCCAAGGGCATCAATCATCACATTAAATTGTACACACTGCACATCATTAAATTTTAGGAGGTCTATGCTGAAATCTCCTAGGCAGAGGAGTTCATCGGTACTGGGCAAAAAAGCTGTGAGAGAATTTACAGTATCTTTTTTTCAAAACGCTTGATGAAGATCAGTTATGCCTAAAGCACATTTTGACTATAGAAGAGTTTGCACATTGTATGGGATTCGGCGCTGAATAAATTGCCAACATGATGACGAAAATCCTTCTTGGCATTGGTTTTATTCTAAAAATGTACCTACGCAAGTACCTAATATTACTTGCAAATGTTGTTTGTCTATTGGGAACTGGTTGAGGATTAAAAGGCACTTTAGCCCTTTTGTATTTATTCTATTTTTGCATTTAGCAACAGCCGCAATCTTATAGTATTTTAAACCCTTTACAGAGAAATGCAGAACTTAATATCATCTTCACCCTTATCCTGCCTGTAAAATCACGAAAAAAACCTTTATGAACGTTACATCTTGAAGACCTTACAAAACTGAGAAAAATTACGCCACTCAGAGATACAAGAGACAGACAGCTCTCCGTATATTCAATATCAAATGTAAATAGCTGAATATTATTAGGTACTACTTTTAAAAGCAGAGATTTTTATTGCAAAACTTTTCCATTTGGCACCAGCTTTAGTAGACACATTGTATGTAATCTATACTTTATTGTCCGAATAGAAAATACCAATGATAGATCACAATTAAATTTAATAGAGGGTGAAAGTAGGGGTTATAACAAAATAAAATATTTATCAATTTAAATTAAAGTTAACTCATTAGGTAATAGATTTAGAATAAATATGATAGGTAACTTGTGGTTTATAATACCTGTAACAAAATATAGGTTTTAGTTTCATAAAAGAATAGAAAAGGCCTAGGTTTTACCCTTTCGGGACACCAGAGATCGGAATAATATGTTTTGAATTTTGTCCTGTATGAAAGTTTCATCAAAATTGATCACAGTATATTTGATCAAAGGTTTTTTTTTAAAATCTGGATATACGTACTTGTTCGTCCAAACAGATGAAGATTAGTCATAGTCGATCCATGCGGAAAAAGACCATGATTCAGATATTGCAATTTAAATTGCCCCAATCATTTTTCATACAATACAGTTTCACAGACTTGCGACAAAATGAAACAAATTCAATTTCATTATTTACATTAGTTATTCTACACCGTGTAATGAAGGTTTTATTTATGAATTTATTCAACCTTCACATGAAAGATATGGATCAATATTTCAATGTTTTTCAGGGTACGAAGATCAAAGTTGTCAAGGTGGGAATTGTACTCAGCTCACACGATTCGACACAGCAAATAAATAGCTCTGATATTCAAGAGATTGTATCAATCTGTAATCATAGTCTATATAGAATGAAAATCTTTATAGTGTGGTGCCTCCTAATGGCTTCGGTAGAGATGAAGGTAGGTGAATTACTTTGTCGCTCACTATGATTGATTGGACTATTTTAAAGCTACGACCAGACGTTATCATTGCCTGGGAAAACTATCACATCCCACATTTTGATAAGTGTGTCGAAGAGGCGGGCGTGGATCCCATGATTCCGAGGTTAATGTTTAGGGAAATAAATTTTCCAGACGAGGGAGACTTTCACTGCTACCTGAAATGTGTTTTTAAACAGAACGGGTGGTTGACAGCAGATGAAGACAATCTTAACTTCGATACTTTATCGCAAGCTCTCCACGTGACACCGGATTTGATAAAGTTTTGTATAGATTTAGTTGCCTCTGAACCAGAAATATGTAGAAAGGCCTACTTGGCAGTTAAGTGCGCAGTAGACGACCAACTTTCATCAATGCGTCGATAATTGAATATCGTAGCTTAACGAATCGATTACGTACTTTGAACAAGCACCTTCTATGTACATCATGTAAATAAATTGCTGTTGTTGATTAGTCTAGTCTAGTTCCACTGTAGAGGTCTGTTACGACGGGAACGATCCTGTTGCCGGTGTTCGCTGCGGTGTACAGTCCCATAAGGTCCACGGACATGATCTCGGTGGAGTGGTCGGAAGGTAGCATCTTGTATCAGTCCTCGATTGGTGGCGGCGCAGATCCAACAGTTCCTCACGTACTCCCGCATAAGTTTGCCTATCTTTTGCCAGTGGAAGTGTTTGGTTGTAGCCTTTTCTGTTGCCTTTGTTCCTCGGGGGCCCGCTGAACGTTGTGGTAGGTCCTCTGACGTAGCTTCGTTTGCTTCTTCTGTCGACGAGTAGTGCGACAGGCGACAGTTCATTTTATTTATTTATTGTCGCTCTCTTGTTCTCGGCCCTCAATATGCTTCGGCCCAATTACAGAGTGACCCGCATAATGCTTTTTAGATGTGCCCCTGTTCTATACTACTCCGGCATTTACCTTACAAATCAAAATGGCAGGAAAACCTAATTCGGAGTAGCCGGCAGAATGCTCGAAAGTGATCTAAAGAAATTCCCATCTATGCACAGATTAAAAATTCTTACCTCAGCTCAGGTTTGAACGCCCGATCTCCATTTTATGTAGCCCAACGCTCTATCACTGAGCTACATAGTCGGGATTTTTCTTTTTTTGTCTTTTCCAGGGCAGTGAATTACGTCAAATGTGAACCCTTCGAGCCGCAATATCATTTTATGGCCCTCACTACGGCTAAGCACCTCCTGCTTGTTGACGTGGTAGCGTTTCTGAGCGTTGTTAAAGTATTTATTTAAAAAAGGGTAGGTCGTTGAAAACGTTGTGATACTGATGACTTAATTACTACTTTTAAGCAAAGTTGCTAAGAGATGAGAACAAAACGGGAAAAAAGCAGTAAGAAATAAACTGTCTAGATTTCTAGAACAACGGCTGTCAGCACAAAGTTTTATCAACAAAAATATAATGAAATTATAGTATTATAATTGCAACTTGGATGAGTGCCTAACAAAAATCGTGTGAACCAAGAGATGTAAAAATTAATTATTTATGCAGCAAAAACGTGTAACTAATTATTTTCAATCACTTTAACCATTTATTAGTTAAATTACTGTGCTAGCAAACACTGCACTTTTCATTTTTGTTATTATGAATAAATATACTATTCCTAGAAAATGTTACACGTTTCTTAGAAAGGTGTGAGTAACTGCTTTGAACACATCAGAGATTGGTACAAAATCTACTGAACTGAAAGTTCTGGATAGCTCGGGGTTAGAACAATGCATTCGTACAGAAAATCTTTTCAAATTTCGACTATTTTCATTGTTCGATCAGGGAATGCAGCTGACCTTCTTTTCGAACCTTTTGAAAACGCATGCAATCCTGATGAAATCCAATATTGTTGAGCCCCTTCAGAACTTTTCTAAATGCTTCATAAACTCGGGCGAAACTGCAACTGTTTGTTCCATACTTTATGGTTGATTATGGATATTTTCATCACAGTTAATTTGCTTATAAATAGCAGCCAGTTTAATGTATGCTGATTCCCCTTAGACGGTCAACTGCTTCCTGAATATATTAGATACATTGCCAATTACAAATACTCAACACTAAAAAACGTGGAAGTACCGTACAACAGACTCTCATCGATTCCTGCAATTGTGTAATTAAAAATCTAAAAATCTCTGTACAAAAGGAATTTCAATTAATCAAAAATAAATACCGAATTCATTATGCAAATTTTTTGCAAACAATAAACAAAAAAAACTTACATCCCATGCAGGGGCCGAAAATATACTATTAGGCATGATAAACTGTCGAAGTGGGAACTATTTAAGGAGGTAAATAATTAACTCCCAAGTCAAAACGTAAACAAAACCCCAACAAGATGAATGCTGTTATATTATTGTGCTTCATAATGACTGCAGTGGAGATGAATGTAGGTATACATCTTTGTTACACTGTACTCATATATATTTTATTCAAAGATACGACCAGAAGTGATAGTCGACTGGGAAAACTATCACATTCCATATTTTGACGAATGTGTAGAAGAAACCGGCGTTGATCCTATGATTCCGAGGTTAATGTTTAGGCAAGTTAATCTTCCCGATGAAGAAGATTTTCACTGCTACATGAAGTGTATTTTCGAACGCAATAACTGGATGACGTCCGATGGAGAAGATATCAATTATGAGACTCTAGCGGAAGCTGTCCACGTAACGCCGGAATTAATAGAGACGTGTAGAACAGTAGCTGATCTTGAATCGGAAATATGTAGGAAGGTTTATCTGGTTACTAAGTGCGCAGTAGATGATCAAATACCCTCAAACGACCGCTAACTGTTAATGGACTACCAGGAAGTGACAGATCATCTTTTGTCATAAATTTTATATCTACTGAAAAACCTTTAATTTTTCTTCGATTCTGTGATGATCTAAAGAAGAACCTCTGAAAATAAATGCTTCGCATTTTCTCCAATTAAACTCCAAGCCATGTTTGATATTTGATTCAATTATAGTTAGTAAATCTTGAAAAACGGTGTCTGGGGTTCCACCCAACGTAGCATCATCCAGATACCATAATACTAGATCGGAACTTAAGTTTTGAGTTAAAGGGTGCGATAGAAATGCAGAATCCTAGTGGTGCAACTGGATCACCTTGTTGAACTCCCCAAGCGGAATGTATATGATGTGTTCATAGTATTTTAATTGTGAAGGTTAACGACATTGTTGTAGGAAAAAATGGTAATATTGAGGAATAAATTCCTCTACCATTTTTAGTAATTGAGGTCTACAATTACAATTAAAAGCATTACGAAAATCTAACTTCAGAAAAGTTTTGCATTCCTCGGTGTCTTTCTTGTTTAAAAAGGGACGTGCTGCATGAACCATAGCTTCAGCATCACCTTTGCTGCCATATCCTAATTGAAAAGGGCGAAGTTTAGATCAAACTGGAACTTGAACACGATTGCTGACAATTTTACCAGCGATTCTTCGTAGAGTATTTCCAATTGCTATTGGTCGAATTCCAACGTCTTTTTTTTTAAAGCGCAAAGCGAAGCACCGTATAGTCTACTGCAAACACTTTCACAAACTTTTTTTTATAAGCTGTTTACAATGAAAATTTTTTTTTACAAAACACTGGTTAAGAGCCAAAATAGGTTTCAACCTTGCATTTTGTGATAACTTTCAGAGGATGTTCTAGACACCCTAAGGTTCAATTTCAGCTATGCCGCCACCCCCGCACCCCCGGACGGCACTTGCTATAGCGGGTTTCTTAAGTGCAAGGTAGCATTTCAATACCCGCCCATAAAATGGGTCAAAAATGTATGTCCAGGGTTTGTTTTGTATTTTCTTACACCTAGGAAGGTTGAAGGGAATTGTCAAATACCCAGGGAGAATTTATTTAGGGTATTTTACGTGGTTTGCCTATTTTTAAGGCGCTTTCAACAGTGCGGACTAGGGAATGCAATCCCGCAGCAAAATCTCAATCTCGGTATTTGCGGGATTGTTAGATGTTAATCCCGCGAGATCCCGGGATTTGCGGGATCTCGCAAAACCTTAAATAAATTGGCAAATAAGCAATTCTGTGCGGTTAACTTCTGTATTAAAATAAATCGCTAATTATCACAATATTTAACAAAAAAGTACCTTCGGCCTAACTTAGAACTCAAAAAAACCTTACCTGTAAAGCACAAAATGTCTTCTAAAGTGCCTCAAAAATCATAGTACATTTTTAACGAAAAAAGTTTAACAATTATGTAAAAAATAATTCGCCGTTATCAGTTTCATTAACAAACTAAACACAGTCGTCCCCTTGGTCGACAAATCCCTCAGTCCCGCAAATCCCTCGATTTATGTGCGGGATTAATCTCGCAAAAAATGCTGCGGGATCCCGGTATTTCGGGATCCCGCAATCCCGAAATTGGTTTCTAGTCTATAACTTTTGATTGAGAAGTCTGATCGAAAAAGTACGAATTGTTTTGAATTCTACGCACCAAAATTAATAAGAAAATGTGTTTCCCGAGAAACTCGCCTCCGCAATCGCACAGTTCGGTGCAGGTCACATCGGACTTGACAAAGCTGCATCTTTGTGTGCAATACTAATACGATCGCAATGTGAAAAAAGAAAAGGGGAACTTGGGAAGATGCGCATTATTAGTTTTCTATATTGCTTCTTTTATTACTTAATTTGTATGAATATGTATAATAGTGTACCTACTATGTGACCAGTTAGAATATTTTAGATCATACTCTAGACATATGACATGATTTGAGTGTATACACTCTACGTGCCACTGCTTAATTAGATGTTACAAGGTTTTTGAATCGTATACATTGGTCACATTTAATTTAAATGACTTTTAGACTCGTTTTCATTGCTTTTTTAGGCATATGTGAGAAACTGATGTTATTTAAGTTATGAAGGTTAAAAAGAGGTTCGTTACATAAGCTAAAGTGTTTTCAAACAGCACTTTTTAGTAATTTTGATAAACTTCGTTCTTTGTGTCAGTTGAAGTATTCTTTAAAATGATTCGTGATTTCCACGTAACAGTGGGAATCCGAAATATCAACTTCTCACATTTTCGATAGCTGAAAAGAAATATGGATTCTGTTGGCATTGAATGAGCTTGCTACTAATGTTATGTTTTTGTATAGGTAATTACTCCAACCTTTATGGTTTGATTATGCTTAACAGCTGATGTGTTTGAATCTTCGTTCCCATAAGCTACATTCAAAGCTGTCGATATAACAATTAAGGGCCTATTTAACATGCACATTGAATCGACGTTAGGTCTAAATAACTAGTGGTGGAGCTTTTCTTGCTCTGATGTTTTGGGCTAAACCATAACTAACACTGTTGTTTTTTCAGTTTAATTAGCATTTTAGTAATATCATAAATCACACACAATGGCTTTCAACATAACCTCTTGTGAACGGCATCCTATGGGTCCTTTTTTAGGCAAATCCGCGGTTGGCAGAGAGTGGGGACTTATTTCGCTATTTAACAAGGTAAATAATGAGCTACGTTTTAAAAACCCAGATATACTCTGACCAAAGCGAAACTTCCAAAAATGCAATTTTTAGTCATATTGTGTTTCATGATGAACGCAGTGGAGATGAAGGTAGTTGCATTTGCATTGTTCTCGACTTATCCAATTCTTATTTCAAGATGCGACCAGAGGTGATTGTTGACTGGGAAAATTATCATATTCCACATTTTGATGAGTGTGTACAAGAAACCGGCGTGCGGATCCCATGATTCCCAGGCTAATGTTTAGGCAAGTTAATCTTCCCGACGAGAAGAGTTTTCATTGCTATATGAGATGTATTTATAATCACAATGGATGGGTGACATCCGATGGAAACGATGTTAACTATGAGACTCTCGGGCAAGCGGTCCACATGACTCAGGAAGTGATAGACGCGTGTAAGATAAAAGGCGACTCTGAATCAGAAATATGTAGAAAAGTTTATCTGGTTACCGATTGTGCTGTGAGTTATGAAGTTCCCTCAAAGCGTTAACGAAGTTACCGAGTTAGGTACCTAGTTGTAGCAAATACGTACACATATAAAAATCAAGTTTCCTTACAAAACGGCGGGAAACGGTTATTTCCCATTGCATCGACCACCAATCCCCTAGTTTGAAACCAAACAAGATATGGTATCAATCGAATCGAATTCGAATTGTCTGAGGACAAAAGCATATCCTAAATCAACACGGTAAATTCAATCATTCTGGCATTATATGCCAGCAACTAGATTGTTGTATACAAATATCTTATTAAATTAAATTTTATGAAAACATAAAAGATGTTCAAATTTTTCACTACACCTAAACAATCTACCATTAAATGGACGTTCTTACCAAATACGTGTCCGTCATTTTAGTAAGTTTTTTCTGTCGAGGAAATGGAAATTTACACATTGAACGTCTAAATGCGACCGTTGAGTGAGTATTTAATTAGTCAATGATGCGACTATGTATCTAGGTACGCCTACCAGTTACTGTATTGCATTACTTGTGAAGTCCCGCCCAACTAACTCTTCTTTTCACGACCTGAAAAATTGGTTTTTCATATCCGATTTGTCAACTTTTCTCGCCAGTTTCCCTCACGACTTCAAGAACAAGATTCGCTGTAATAAAGCATAAAACCACTGACGTGATGGACGGGGCGTTTTTATTGAATCCTTTCTTTATTACTACTTTTCGGTGTTGGTGTTTATCTTTCATTGTTGAATTTCAACGCTGGGTACCTCTGTTCATAAAAAAATTGTCTGATACTTTCCGGAATCTAATGTAAGTACTTTATTCTATAAGGTCAATGGCATGGGTGCTCGGTAAAGATAACACCGTATGCGCCCTTTCGAATTCTAATATCTGCGGGGGTGGTTTTGCATATATATCCATCTGTGAACGCGCGGTGCAAGAATGACACGTCTAATCCAACAAATCCTCCACCGTTTAATTAAGCACAATTGCCTGGCGCAAACGTGTGAATGATTACTAATTAATTGCTATAGGAGGAGGGCCAATAGAGAATCGTGTAATTAACAAATCGCTGAACAATGACCTCAATCTAATTGGTCAACAACATGAAGCCACCGCAGACGGGCTATTCGTTTCAGTTACAAGGTTATGAGGTCATAAACTTTGAAATGCGACCTCTCGAAATTCGTATATTATGCTTTTAGTGGAAATTAAGCCCTTAAGAAGGAAGAAATTGTAGATATTGCGCCGACAACATAATCCTATAGAGGTCGCCGAAACGATGGTGTTTTCCAAATCATTTACCAAGGGGAGTATGGAATTTGAAAACTTACATAATAATGATAACTACTGCACATTCTCGCTCTCCATTGTTTATGGATGAACCTTTTGTTCTGTATCAAGACTCGGATGCGCCAAATATTAAAATTGAAGTTTATGAGAGTCGGTTCGTTGAGGCTGTTTCTACCGTCATAGAACTTAAACATACAGTAACTTATGGTAACAATTGTTGCATTGGATCCTGAATTTCTTTTAACGGCTTGTTCAATTCAAAGGTAAAGAAAGAAACCAGGAAATCTATGAATTTTTTTGGTTTTGAGTAAGCACATAACACATACGACAGCGACATTATAAGAGTAAACTAATTCCATTAAATAAAATAACTGTTTACAGTTGATTTTTAAAAATTCACTTTAAATTCCTTGTTGTACAACCTGATGTTTAAATGGTTACCTGGGTATCCTTCTAAGACAGTATGTAGTATTTACGGGTTGCTAAGGAAAAAAACTCGACGATAAATAACTTCTACACCTACAGGTAAAAATGGTACATATGCTCACCATATTGTTGTGTACCTATACATGTATACGTTTTTTCGGTTTAAAAACCAAAGACGCCCCGCCCCACCCTGTATATGAGAAATGTACGAATAAGCACAGAATTGGTTTATGTCATTTAAGTTTGTCTCTTAGTGTTGTTTTTCCGTT